ACCACTTATCTCTGCCGTCAGCACAGGGCTGCGGTTCGCGGGCTTCAGATCTATATTATGAAACCGATGCAATATTATAACCACGTCGTCGTCGGCGGCGGCTTTGCGGTACATCATCACAAGACGAAAACTGAAAAAAAAAAAAAAACGAAACCTTCGGTTGTTATATTATTTTAATTACTCGACACTAATTGTCGTACAATAACGTATAAAATTATATATAGTATACTGTTTTGTTAGTAGCCGCATATGTCTTATCACATCGTCGTGCACCCCGTGGTTGACAGGCAAGTGTTCAAATTGCCGTCGATTCTCATCTATAATATCTCATATTTGAAATATAACTATATATTTATTTATAGATCTGAGACGTCTGTTTTACACTATATTATGTAGGTATAAGTACATATATCTGGATATAATACATTATATTATATTATATATTTTTCGATTAAAAAATATTTATTATAAATAATTGAAAAATGCACAATAAATACTAGATACCAACTTTGAGCTAATATTGTGTTGTTGGCAGAGAGTTGATATGACAAAACGATATATACCTAATAGCATGAGTACAATAGCATAACGCCATAACGACACATTTGACTTTGGGAAAACATATACTGTTCGAAATATTTTCAAAATATCCAACTATGAATAAAAACCATTCAAAGTGTGCAAACGTGATATTATGCCAACTCGTATAGTTGGCAAACAAAATATGATCGAATTGTATTGATAAAGTATGTTTTTTTAGCTTCAGTTAGTTACAGAGGCGATCAAACGATGATGATGGGTACATATTCGCGCAATCACCTTTTTTTTTTCAATATTTATTATCAATAATATGTATAATATTATATCACCTAATGGCCAATAGCCAATATAATATAGGTATTTATACAACAAAACAATATTAATAATATGATAGCTTCATACTCCCCTCCACTATCGCACCACAATGACAAAATAACCTGACCATCTGCACTATTAGTTAGAGGATTAAATAACAATATTATAATATGTAGTTATGCTATATCAACACATATTTATATGAAAGTACATTTGTACTTAAAAGTTATAATCACAATCGTCTTGCATATTGCTGTACAACACGGCACAATGAATAGCATAGTAATAATATCATTATTACCTATTGGGCGTAACACAAGTGACGGAAAAACAAAAAGGTAATAAATAAAATGAACGGGCGCATATTGGCTACTTGCAGCAGTTACCATTCACAACCATAACGAAACACTAATATTTGTAGAAAAGACGTGTATAGCTATAGGTAATTCAAATTTTAATATATTTAAATGCTTGTAAAAAAAATTATGAATAAATATTTTCGAAATTCGCCGAATATAGACATAGAGTGCCTGTTATTACATGCCTGGAAATTAGTAACCTTGTATTTAAAATTTACATAATATTGTACTTGAATAAACAAAACTGTACACACATTTTACCAAAAGAAATCATAAAATAATATCGTAATACTTAAACCTAATCTATAGGTAAGAAATAACATAAAGTATTAGCTTTTGTATAAAATTACAGTAAATAATCAAAACCTAGAATTACCTATTATTTTACGTGAAAAAGAAAACCAATTTATCGTGAATATATAGTGAAATTAAGAAAATTCTCATGGTCCAAACTTTAAACAACGCTTGCATAGAGCTATTGTCAGGGCCGTATTTTTTAATTATAATTGGAATAACATATAATATGAATAACCTTGTATTAAAATGTAATGTGTTCGAAATCAAAATTGCAAAATCTATAAAATTAGGACTAAGAAAAACAACTTATTTTCAAAAAGTTCGCAATAAATAAATGTTCAAATTGCATTCCATAAATAAGACCAAATTTTTTTTTTTTTTATTGATCAATATCCGGCAACTAAGGCCATTAGCTAATTTTAGTTTTGTTTGTAAGTTTTTGTTGGTAAGGGGAGGCACACTTGTGTGTTTGTTTGATTTGGGCATCCGTAGATATCTGCAATTCCCGGGTGAGGGATGGTGGCACTTGTTCTCCGGACACCGTGACTTGCCCGAAGAAAAATGCCACCCGTGGCCGAGGTATCGAACAATCGTCGGCTGCGTCGCAACCGACGCCTTAGTCCGCTCGGCCACTCCGTCCCCCTAGATGGACCAAAATTAATAATAATAAGTGTCTGCAAATAACAAACATGTTGTAATCTGCAAACGGTTTAAATTACCATGTCTAGGATTCGGTACCTTTTATGTTATAAATATTTTTTATAATTTCTTCTGAAACATACACTATACAACGTGGGGAACTGTACATCATATTTTTATGAAACTTTTGGATCACAATTTATTATTCCAACCAAAAAAGTGTTAACGAATTTTAAAATAAAAGACATAAAAGACATATGGTAGGCATATTGTAAAACTTAAATTTACAATTATTTTAGCTTTCTATATAATATTATTCAAAACACAAATTTAAAATAATAGTCGCCAGTTTGCAGCTAATCAAGAGACAGCCGACGACTGATTTAACTATAGATATATACGATATACCTAATACTTAATGAATAATGTTACTGGGTATGTCCATTATTGTTTCCTTTGGCGGTTCACTTGAATAACAAATAAACAACATATGCACTTGCAGTTCGACACCGAAATTTGTGTCGCACGCTTGCCAATTTTATGAACATAATTAGTTTTGAGTGACAACAATTTTGAAGTGCAATGTAAATTAATATTCTTTTAAAACGATATATTTTCTTGTTTGGCAAATCGTATTCAGTTAATATATTATTATTATAAAGGTACGCTTGGGATACATCACTATACTTCACGTACATCGATTTGATTTATTTTTTTATGTCATACAATATTTGATTTTATATTTATTTTGCCATTGAAATGTTAAATCCGTTTTGCCGAGAACTAAAAAGGTTCAATTCTCCTTACTGCCAAAAAAAATATGGAAACCAAACATTTTTATTTTTATTTCTATACTAAATATGTGTTTCTTTTAGTTTATTTAAAAAAAATAATTTACATCTATAACTTATATTTTTATGAAATTCTTCAAAATATGTAACACCTACTTTCATAATTAATATTTATACCTACTGTTATCTAATGTTTTACATTAACTTTACTTTAACCTTTAAACCTTTACTGTGATAAAATGAATAATTTTTTTTATCCAATTAATATTTAATATTAAAATAAGTTTCTGTTAATTATGATGTGCAATGAATTATTTAATGATTAGAAAATTGTTTAGTGTTGTGTACACGTATATTATTACACGATTCCCAAAAAATATATATTTTAGCAGAAACGTCTTTTAAAAAAAAAACTAATTTTGTCGGAAACTGGAATTGAACCTTTTTCCTTTTTGGTGGGAGCGGGCTATGCATAAATATGGGAACCTGTTTTTTTGGCGGGAAAAGTCATGCCTGTTAAAACGATATCTATCGAAAATAATCGAAACACGTACAGAAATAATAAAATTCTTTCCTAATCAGTTTTTCAAAATATTGTAATACTTACAACATAATAAAATTATACTAAAGACTGAAATTTGACTTTTTCTTAACATTAATAAATTGTACCTGATATAATATTAAAATATTAAATAATACTATAAGTAGCAAGTACATACATCTTCTGCGATAAACATAATATTATTATACAATATACACTATATTATATTATTAAATCCCGTTGAACACATATTATTTCGATTGACCTTGTACGTAAAACCGCCTTGAGCGCATCAATATAATAAAGGATAACCTGTTTCGATCGACAATGAAATCCTTTACTTTTTTTCATAACAAACTCAATATACCAGCGACTGTATAATATATATATATATACAGCTGTGTACAAAAACTCTATACACACGAAACCCAAACACAAAAATGACCTCATGGTCCTCTACATTACCCTATTATGTACAGCCGATTATTATCGAATTTCCAGACACGACGCATACAATGTCGTTGGTCTGTACGAGTATAATATTGTATTGTATTATTTAGACTGCAACACACAATATATAAACGGATATAACAATTAAAAACGTGCATAATATAATAGGATACCTACGAGGAATAGCGCTTGTGACTCTTCTAATGACGTTTTTTTTTCTAGTCAGCAAACTCTATAATATAGGAACCTTTGCAGGGCGTAATATAATTACGTGAATAAAACACTGTAATAAATTATATAAAACTATTTTATAGCGATTTGCTGGCGTATAATACCTACAACTATACCTGCGTTAAAAAATGTATCTATGATGATAGTTCGCTTCAATAATAGTATAAAGGTTATCATCATATTATACTCACGTCATATCCGTACACTAATGAATACTTCAAAAAATATGTATATTATAATAGTAAGTATATCCTACTTAATGCTAGGTACTCGATGATAACGTTTTTTAGCGTTAAACGTTGAAGACGATAAAATATAATATTGTTTTTTTCAAACGTAAAACCACGTGGTCTATAAATATATTTTTTAGTATATTATTATCAAACTGCTGTAACGCTTGTCGTGAATGCGTTTCGAGCAGTATTAAATACTATACTGCTATAATACAGCTGTATTGTTATATATTGATATTATTATGAAGTGTAAAACGAACGTGGGAATCGTCAAATGTCGACTCGAAAAAAAAAACTGTAAGACGAAATACGCGTTGCTAAAAAAATTTGAACTGCTAGTTTGAAGACACGCGGTCCGCCTTATATACCACCGTCGCACACGAGACAAAACAATATGGTAATAAATATATATAATTATCCACGTCTACACTCCGCCGCCGTCAAAGGAGGCTCGGAACAAAGACGGAACAATATATTATTATTATTATAATAATCGGAGACGACGGATAATACGTTCGTCACATGTACGATCGTATTATAGCTCGGGGACGGTTCTTTTCGTCTAGTTTTCGCGTTTCATCGTCGCTGGGTTTCTTTGACGCCATTATTGACGGTGGCGGTTGGAAACCACTGGATAACGACGCAAAACATGCAAAACGACGACGACGTCTTGCGACCACGCAGCGATCCGACACGAGCCGCAGTCGTCGAGACTCTTGGGGAATTTTTTAGCTTCTCTATCGCCCCACCACCACCTCCACAGGTTGCCTTCCCCCTGTTTTGTGGGCACACGACGACCGACGACGGCGATTCTTGCAGGTATATCAATATGTCTATCGCCACGGGAGGTGTACTCTCGCACGCGGTTTACGATTCTCGTCATCGTTATTATTATTATTTATATTTGTATTTATATTATTATTATTACACGTACGCGGCGCGGCTAAACGGTGACGATGATGGATACCAGCCCGACGGGTTTTGACCATGAATGTTTATTATTGGCCTTGGCCACAGGTTTATTACATGCATACGAAACGAGCCCGGCCCTAACGTCCTCCACACACACACACACACTTTAGTACTTACACGGTGTGTGTTGGTGTGCCACCGCCCCTCCGACCGTCCAGAAAAACCACATCGGAGAAATGCAAATGCAACTGGTGTGTGTGTGTGTGTAATATTATTATGATGTGTTTCTTTCATTCCGTCGCTGCTGGCCGCCACTCAGAACTGTATTTTGTAACCGTGTGTGCATTACATTATAGGTATATACATATTTTAATATTGGATTTCATTGAACACGCGAACATTATCGTATAGCTATTTAACTCGACGATATCGCGTACCCGTGTTATTACTATAAATCATTGCCTACATCGATAAACACGCGGGATAATGATATTTTTGCCTATTACTTATAGGTACCTGCGTTTTAGGTATGCCTCTTAGGACTAGGTTTTTTTTTTTTTCGTTATCTTACGATTTACTATGTACTATGTAGTACACTATGAGTAAGTCGATCACCCGCCGCCACCGTCGATCGGTAAATAAAACGATACGTCGACTCCGATACGTAACAATATTGTACTCGAAATAATTATTATCGACTATTACAACAATTATTTTCCTTGTATTAAAACGTTCTAAACACAAGTACACCAAATCTACCACGTGGTACGAGCGGAATTGTACAAAATTGTACCACATGGCCGTAGATTTGCAGGAAAACGAAATAAACGAGACAACGGTTCTATAGGTTAGGTTGGGTTACTACACAGACACATATTACAATATATATCGACCGTGTAAGTCCGACGACCAATGTGAATTGTACCTACATATTCAAATTATTGGAATTTTCAATTCAAACTGAAACCTATAGTCTTCACTGCTTTTATAATAATAATAATAATAATAAATAGAACACCGACCGTTCTGGCAGTTTCTTTTACACAGTGTTTTTTCCACGTACGTGCCAGAACGTATATAAAAAAAAACATATAATACGGTACAACCTTCGACATCAAAGATAAGTACACTTATCGGCAGTTTGCTGACCTTAAGCGAACGAAAAAAACCTATTCCAACTGTGTGCAGTGCGTGCCAAAACGACCTTTTCGAAGACCGTTTGGTTTTTTTTCAGACGGTTCGGCGCTGGCTGCGTGTCTTTGTCGAACAATTTTACTTGGACGTACACCGTTTACAAGATAATACCTAGGGAAAAAGACGTTTTTTAGAACTTTTGAGCGATTTTTAAAACGACTGAACGACAAATAATTTTAAACACGGAATACCGCATTGCATCCACAATAATTATAACTTTAGGAAATATCACACTACACTCCTTTCGAGAATATTTTCTGTTTTTCACACTTTTTTTACTTAGAAACATTAAACGCATATAATATCTCCACCTGAAATGACCAGAAAATAATATTCAAAATAGAAATTATTTCAAATTAAATATAAACCAACCTATATTGTTTGTTTTCCATTCGTCATTCGTTACTTAATACCTATTATAACGAACAATTAAAATTAACTTGAGTTAAATCTAAATATTTTTCGATTTTGAAAACCAGATGATTACACTCGTGTACAAATTGTTGGTTTGAATTACAATAATATAATACGTATTCTTAATGGGCAACGATAACTCGGCTTGTAATATTATAATTGTGAAGCGCACGAACAACTCAATATAAAAATATATAATTTTATACAGTTCGACAGTCGTCGTCGTTCAATTTTCAACTGTTATAAGCTTAATATATTCGAAAAATGTCATCGAATATTGTAAATACCATAGGAAAAATTAATAATTAATCGCGGTCGTGTACGTAATAGTAGAGTAGTAGTAGTTATACACGATAAAAACCTACCTAATACCTTGTAAAAGTAATTCATTAAATATTTGTGAACAAATTTTAGCCGCAGTGTTGTCATATTATTTGATATATTAAAATTTGTTATTTTTCAGTGAAATTCAAACACGTTTCACAATTGTTTGCGAAGTAAACAAAAAATAAATAATATATAGGTATATAATAATAACGACTGCACGACTTCGGCAAGATAATATTATGTGCAAAGACTTTGCAGCTCGGCATTTTCGTTTTCCACGCGTTATGCCTATGCGCACGCATGTTTATTATATACACAGAAATTCTAACCTACAACTGTGAACGAGTCGATATAAGTGGTATTGTCAATAGCTAATACATATCAAACACCGTTTTAGTAAAACCGAATACGTTGTTGGAAACCAAGGTTTATAGATTATACTATAGATTATACTATAATCTATAAACCTTGGTTGGAAACCACTGGTAAATGATAAATAATATGAACCGGTGGTGAACTCTCTCCGTACATACGTATCGATCAACAGGCGGTCTTCGTTCGTTCGTCGCTGATAAGACGTGATAACACACGGGCAAACGGACAATAATTGATCCCCGAGGAAAAACTTAGTATGCGGACAATATATTGGCCTCCGTATAATAATAATTATAAAAATTATTTCATACACGGGCAGCAGTATTATTGGTCCCCAGCCAAGTCTTTCGACACGCGATAGGTACATATTATTTTTGTAAATTTAATAAAATATGTAAATTAAGATAGGTTCCTATCACTTAGTTGGGGTGTCACTTAAAAACACGATGTATCAGCAGTTAGGGCGTATTTTTAAACAGGATAAAATGAGATACGAATTTTGATCGATTATTAACAAACAGCGGTTTATACCTACCGTGACCGGTATGATCTATATATTATATTCTTCAGTATGGTCGGTAGATTCTACATCGACTACACTCTCCACAATGTCTTATCGACGTTATTATTATCTCAATCAATATTCTCCTTCGTGAACATCAAGTTTTTTATTGCCAATTATCCGATTGTTCGACGTATATTAGTTCATTTTTACTGTATACTGCTGTTATATAGATGCCGAATGGTTATCACTATATTTTATCCGTCTTGTGCCTATCGGTAAAAGAATAATGAAGCGTTTTAATACCAGCCACAGAAAAATTAAATTGGTGTACCAAAATTAAAATAACGAAACGCAGTTCAATTTATGTGGCAGAAAAAAAAAATTTGGACGGTAACCAATAATTTTGTCGGTGTATAAAATTATGACGGAGCCAATCGTCAGCATGTATACAGCGTTTTTCGAGGGGACCAATATTTTACCGTCATAAATCCAATGACACGACTTTATAAAAATATCATTAAAACCATTGACGTCGTTGTAGATATCCAGTTTTCGTACATCGGTGTTTGAAAAACGCTCCTCGAATTATTCACCTCTGCTGCACCGGTCGTCCCAAAACAATATTTTGTATAGGTTCGAAAACAAAAACCACATTTCAAAATTTGCCACTTGCGTCGGCCCAACACTTTTCCGCCGCCGCTCGCGATCAATTACAGACATAAGTAATAACTTTGTTTCAAGGTCATAATATAGAAGTCATACTTCTTTCCCGCGACCACGAAATTAAAACCTTATACACAACCGGCCGCCCAAAAACCGGTATCGAGTTTGATATTATGTTTAAGTGGATACATTTTATTTTTTTTTTTTACCTTAATAATGTATAATGTGCACGTTCCTATAACGCAGCCATCATCTCGCCGAAAGAAAAAAAAATAACCGTCGTCCAGCGAACGGATATCATAGGAGAAGAGTCGGTCGCGGCCGATTTTATATTATTTACAAGTCGAACAACCGACCGGCCGTGGACCGACTAAAACCTAGAGCCGGCTAAAACTAATTATTATTATGCAATAGTACAATAGTGCCTATATTATTGTAGAGTTAATAATATTATTTTTATGCCATACCATATTTTACTCAACCTTTCTGCCCGTTATTTCACTGCGTGTTCACGTCAGACCTTTGAATTCGGGTTTTGAGTAAGGTTTGAACAGAATCAAGTGCACTCGCTGGACATTCTATAAACCATTTCCTGCGATAAATGTATATTATACAGCGAATAAAGCCTTTACATGTATACCCAATAATTATACAGTCTGTAATACATCCTTTACAGATTCTCTGCTCGTCGTGGTCTGTACCGAAATTACATATTTAGCTCATCTCTTATTTGACCTTCCCTTATTGTCATTTTTAACCGAATTTTCTCTGTAATAAATATTATTATTATTCGCTGTTGGTGGAAAAAAAAGGATGTTACGAGTGTTATTTTTTGTACAGTAATATAATATAGAACTACAGTTGATTAAATTATTTATAATTTAAAAAGTGTTTTCTTCTTATCGAACCAAAAGTCCAAAACTGTATTTTCTTCGCTCGTCGCATTGCAGCGAAATAATAATCTGTGGAGCTCGTCGTTAAATAAATTAAATCATATTCGTGTAAAATACATGTGCTCTAATTGTATACGACTGAGATGTTTTCAGGAAAATAAATTCTCCCGACTATAATCATCGGATGAAGTTTTTTCGAAAAATCTGTCACTCGTCGGTTGGTGAGTCAGTTATCGTAATATATGAAATGTGCACTGAAAAGCGTCGAAATTATATATTATAATATACACAGACCGTATAGTAAGTGTAGCAATAATAATACAATATGATGATGACGACGACTAAGAATACGTTCGGTGATTTGTGCAGCATTACACCCAAATCCGATGTGGTAATCGTTTTACATTTTTTATGGATCGCCTTTTTTCACCGATTAATAGGTATTATATTAATATTATAGTCGAATGACGTATTTTATTATACGACATCAAACCGTGTGGGTTTCGTATACATTTTCTTCCACAAAGTATAATAAGAAGTGGGTGTTTTGAAATCGTTTTACCGTATCTAAACCACATGTACGGTTTGAAATGAAAATAA